TGCTGCTGCTGCTGCTGCTGTTGATGTTGTTGCTGTTGTTTCTGTTGTTGATGTTGTAGCTGTTGTTTCTGTTGTTGATGTTGTTGCTGTTGTTGCTGTTGCTGCTGTTGCTGCTGCTGTTGCTGCTGTTGCTGCTGCTGTTGCTGCTGGTGCTGCTGTTGATGCTGATGCTGATGCTGCTGCTGCTGTTGCTGTTGCTGCATGGTCATTGACTGCGAGCCTGTAGACACGGGCGTCGGTATCTGGTGGATTTGTATGGGTCCCGGTAAGATGCGTTGACTCCAAGCCTGAGTTGGCCACACCATTGCGCTGACTATCGGCGCTGGCATTATCGGTACCAGGGTGTTCTATGGATAACGCCACGAATCGTAAATTTTTATTATTGGGTGCATGGAGTCGATTGTACGGCGTATTTGACGAAACTACGATGGCATTAAATTGGTAGAACGAACGTTATCCGAATTCTTTTAGGAGTTAAGGGAGTTAAGGTCTACGCAATTTTTGCGCTACATTTTATTTCGCGTAATTAAGTTTTATCGAGGAGTGGCTAAGCCTATCATATTGTTATATAGTTACGTCGTTAACGAAGGTTAACACCGTCAGTCGTAACCACTCTACTAATGGCCTAACTTTGATATTAAAAAGCAAAATCTTAAAGTTATTACTTATTGGCTATTCAACAAAGATTTTGTATATTTTTTTCTTCTCTGTCTGTCTTGGTATATTTTTTTCTTCTCTGTCTGTCTCTCTCTCTCTCTCTCTCTCTCTATCTCTCTCTCTTTTTGATATTGATATTATCTTCTCTTTTGTTAAAAATTTACCGTGAGGGAAATCTTTTGGTAATTATGAATTTAATATTTCATGGAATACGTGCATCAAAGGCACCTAAGCATTATTATTCAAGGCTGTCGGGAGACTTTTGCAAAAACATCCCAAGTCACTCTAGCGAGCGAGCACTCGCAATTGCCAAATAAGAATGTTATAAGCTACGGGGAAGGAAAGTTTTAGAAAATTTCAGAATATTAAAAGGCCTAATGCGTTTTTCGAGATATCTTGGACTATACATATAAAACATCTACATCGGCCTTTGTGAAGTCTTCTTTTTTTTTTCGAGAAAGAAGACGCATAGCTCGCGGGAGGCTCATTGTATGGTTGCCAGATATCCTAGAGAGAGAGAGAGAGAGAGAGAGAGAGAGAGAGCTTGAATTTCACGAGGAATATAGAATTCGTTGAATTTGTAAGCGGTTGGAAGGCGAGGGGAAGGCGCACAAAGAGGTGCATGAAGTGGACGAATGTTGTATAGCGGGAACTTAGGTGGTTGTGGGCTTATCTTACTTACTCTTCTTGGTACTTCGGGCGAGCTTTTGGAAATTCAAACTTTACAACAAAGCTTATAGCAGTGAGTTAACTACGGTCGTAATAAACCTGAGCTTCCCAGTCATTGTTTGCTTCTTTCACTCAACATTCGTACTTTGCTACTTTCTTTGTTTTTAAATACATCTTATTTAATAAGAAATCGAATAATTTAAAGAGTAATTGCATTTTCGGATAGTTTGCACGGGTGAATGAAAAATTCTGACGAATAGAAAATAAAATTGTGTTTCCTCATTATAGTAAGCTGATAGTGTTGTTAGCTATTTATTGTTTATTTCTCAATAAAACTTATTCCAATCGACTGATCACAATTATTCATTCATTCGTGCCTCGTAATTTTGAATATTTTCACTTATAGTTTATTGCATTTAGGGAAACGTTATTCTTGCATTTTAAGGAAATGTCATAAAAATTTTATGACTTAATAATTATTGAATAGTGTCAGGTGGAAATTTCATGATTTGATAAAGTTTTAATATACTTAACGGCGGGATTAAATTAGTTTGACCTGTTGTAGCTATTTTATAATTTTACCTATTTTGTCTCGTTTTATAACTGTTATTAATAGGCACAATACTTCTAACTATTTTTGTAACTTTGAATTTGTAAAAAAGTTCATCTATACACAGAATACTCGTTAATAGAGCAGCTATACATTAGTATTAAATATTAAAATTTCTACATTCAGAATTAGTTAATCATACGTAATTTGGCAAATGTATAAAGTATGCAAATAGTAATATAGTTACAATTGATTCACTTTCGCATAATCATCTAATATCTTTACCTTATCTCAATCACTAATTATATTGTTTAAAATAATGTATTTTATAATATGATAGATAAAAAGCAAAGAAGATGCGCAGCCCATGGAGTTTCGAAAGAAATCTAGTGAACTTTGTATGGAGTGAATTTGTAGTGTGTTTCACATGAAAAAATCGAGTGAACATTTGTAAGGGATATTTTATTTAAAAACGATAGATATAATATTATATGATCTTTCTTTAAATATAAATATTTTACGACAGTTTTATGTTTTTTAACTAATATTAAAAATGCTTACTCGTTACATTTTTGATAAAATATGGCATTATAATTTTTAATATCTAGATGGATTAAGCCCCCATATAAATGATATTAAATTAAAGCTAACTATCGCTGATCTATATTATGACTTTTATCAATTGCGTAGATAAGGATCATTAAAGAATAAAGAAGTTTATTATTTATAGTGGCTATCTTATGAGCGGGAGTAAATATTGAAACATCTCATAGATCAATAGATCAAAGTCTGCTTCTTATACGTAATGTATAAATAATACTCGTTATATTTTAAAAACTATGGTTTTAAATTTGATCGTACATAGAGTGACAAAGGATAATTTTTACAATAAGATGTAAGAAATTCGTAGTGTCCGCAGTATATAACTATTGTGTTGAAATGGCATAATGATCAAAAGAAGATATTTTTCGATTCAATGCTACTAAACGTTTTTTAAAAAAAAAGTTTCTAAATATTTTCATCATCTCCACTACTTATATTGAAAGAAATTTTATATTTAAAAAGGCTAATATATAAAGTTTATAAGACATAATATAAAGTTTTGAGGTATTACGAAGCAAAGCATATCATTAATATGGAATTCGATAACTATAGAATTATTAAATTCCAGTTTGTATAATAGAAAAATAATAGCACAAATATTTGCAGAAATTATCAATAAATTAAAGTTCCAAGTCAAACAGATTTTTTTCATTTATAAAAAAGGATTATTTTGAAAATTGAAATATTTTTATTAATTAAAGGCACACACACACACACACACACACACGCCCATGTAAATTACAATTTTATTACAATTTGTATTTATCAATAAACATTAATGAAAAATATATTTTTATGAATTTAAATTGATAATTTCATACTTAATATGCATATTTAAATATTATTTTAATATTATTCTTATTTTTATTATTTAAAGCTTTACTACGTCAAGTTTTTATGTGTAATTAATTACATTTGTCTGTTTCATAATATTTTTATATCGGAAATTTGAAATATCAAAGTATTAGCATTCTGATATTATTAAATTTCTTACTGAATTAATTAATTTTCATTGATTTTGCAAAAAACAAATCAACTGACAAGTAAAAAAATACTTTTTTCAATTTTTTAATAACTCTACGCTGAATAATAAGTTTCCTTTTCAAAAATGTAATTGTATATCATCTTTCAACTTTTATTTCAATCAAGAAGCAATTGAATTTTCGTTATATTATATTTCTATTTCAATCTAGTTAAATGCCTCGTCCATTTTTATTTTTACGTAATTGAATTAATTATTAAGTAAAATATAGTTATATATTTTAAAATATAAATATCCATTCGTTTTATAATTAATTTTTTTTTCATGTTTAAAACTTATTTATGATATTTGTAAAGAATTATCTCACTTGAAATATTAAATTTTAATTATAATATAATTGTATGTTTATAATTTAAAATTTCATCTACTTTTCACAATTATCCTTAAAATATTTGCACATGCTTATCGAAAATAATTGTTCTCCACATTTTTTTTTTTCATTTTATTAATATATCTTATTCACAAATTAAGAAAATTATGGTTATTGAATTATTTATTTTTTAAATTATCCTTTATAATGAAATTGGTTGGATTACTTTGTACATAAGCTGAGAATGTATTAAAAAAAAAAAATTAAAATCTATTTTAAATGAGAAATTATATTAACTTTTTATATTTTATATTAAAACGATTCAGTCTGTTATTTAGTGCTTATTATTGGTGTTATAAATAAAAATTCTTATAATTTTTTTTTTTTTTTTTATTTATTAGTTAGAAGAAGCAAATTAAAAATCACACGGATGAAATATCATAGAAGAATTCGTTAGTTGATATTACGAAAATGAATGAATAAACAAATGATTAGTCATAATTTAAATCACATATAATAAATAACAGGAATATAATTATAGAGTTTGCTTATGGAATATTTAATAAAACATTTATGTCTTACTGCTTAATGGCATTTCTTACAGCACATAAAATATTTTTTGCTTATAAAAGAAAATTTAGTATCTTTGTTAAGTTCCAAGAGATGATAACAAACTTGACTTATGAATTAAATCATTAAATTTGCAATGTAAAACATGTTATAATTAATTTTAATTTACTGTTTGTCATTAATATTTATACTGTTATACCATCATTTAAAATATAAAATATTTTCTCAAATATAGGAAAAATACATGTTAATTATGACGTAAAACATTTATGTGAACGAATGAATGAAATTCCATTAGATTTTAATAAAGTTCGAATTCGAAATTGAATATGTAAAAATTAAGATTGTGGTAAGATTTGATAAATCTTGATCTTGATACAGTTATTCATTAAATTTTAATAACTTTATTTAATTTGTCTATATGTAACGCGTGAAAATATTTTAGTATATTTTTTTATGAGTATGTTTCTTCAATTTTTTCTCGATTATCATTAAAAATATTTGAAAATATTGATTTGGATATCTTAAAAATTATTTAAATAATAAATTACAAAATCGAAGTTAAAAAATAATCATCTTAATATTAAGTATAAATAAGTATATTAATTTAAATATTAATTTTTAAATATAAAATGTATAAAATAATATTAATTGCAATATTTTTTCTTTTAATATCGATCCGATAGTTAAAATATAAAGATTAAACAACGAGTGATTGTAATGTTGTAAGACAAATAATCATTAATGTCAAAGCACACTTCTCTTGAAATGTGAAGAAAGCATGGGATATAAATTAATGTTCGTAATTATTGGAAAATATAAATTGTAAAGCAGTTTAATGTAAATTTCGATAAGGATTGTGTAATGTTCCTTTGATTAATTACAATGAAGTATTAAACTAAAGATAACATCGCAATATATTAACTACTCCTTATAATAAACCTTATTTCTAATAGTTTCTATTTGTTCGTTATATTTTTATTTGGCAGATTACATTTTGTCTAATTCGAGGATAAAAACGAAAAATTAATTTCTATATGAACCTTGAACTTAATTATTTTATCAATGGACTTTTAACGATTTATATCGGCTCCATAAATTCCATTACATTCACTATTATTACGGGACAATTTTTAAGTTCCCCACAAACAAGAATAGAGTATACTAAAAAATCTACCATAAAATACCAATCGACATTGTCGGACAAAACTTATCGTCCCTTTTTTTTTTAACGAAAATGTTAGTCTAGGCTCGATAAGAAATGTCCCTCGTCGTTTTTTCAGTAAGTTTTGACTTTACTTGGTACAGGGTGACGGTTTTCCTGTTAGCGACATGTCCCTTGTAGGGGAACAATTCATCATGATAAGGACTGTTGGACGTAGGGGGATAGAATTGAAGTGGCTTCGTGTGATCCTCGATGGGCCAAGTTCCCGGTCTTTTGGGGAAGAATTCCGGCACGTCAACACAGAGTGGCGCCAACGGCCGATGCACCATATTTATAGTTTGCACGTAAGAGTATTGACAGCGGCTTCTGTTATGCACAAGCGAATAAAAAAAAATGTAGAAATTAGAAGGGATTACGTGATATAATAAGCGCACTAGCTGATTATTGCTTTTCAGTTAGGAATTAGTTGGTGCACTCGCGCGCGTATGCAACCTTTTTATCTATTACCTTTGAGTTATTAAAGCGTAACCTTACTTTGTGCAAATAAAGTCCATTAATTTCAGAGATACGCGATGGAAAGTCTTATAATATTAAGGCTCTTACATTCAATTTCACGGGAATTTTCAACTGTGTTTTGGCCCTTTTAGTAGTCTTAAAAAATATTAAAAAAGTGTTGCGATTAATTTAATTACTCATGTCATTAAAAAGAAATTCTCGTCAATGTAGGAGGCAAGAGACATTAATTATTGAAGAGAAACATTTGGTGCATTTGAGCATTTGTTTATATTATAAATTAAATGCACAAGTTCAACTTTGCAAGTTTTCAACGGTAAAATTTGCTACAAACGATGACTTTGTTCATGAAATAGAATATCGTTAATGTCTTATTCTTATAAAAAAAAAAAAAAAAAAAACGAGAAAAACAAATCAATTTAAAGTTTTTATTAATTTATTATCGATATATATATATATATTTTTACTAATTTAATAAATGAAATAGAATTTATTCTTTATTTGTTTTTGTAAAAAGTATTTTGATACCAACAAATGTAAACATAGTGTTCAACAAAAACAGATAAAAGTGTCGATCTTAAATATTCTTGTTGTTATTGAAATCTATGTTAATTTGCAACAAAAAGTATAATAAAAAAATATATAACTTATTAAGATTAAATAAAAGCCGAATGTGCATATGATCAATATTATTTAATAGATGACAAATTATTGATGTATATGCATATAAAAAAAAAAAAAAAAAAATCTTTACGTCCTTCCAATTATGTTTGATATAAAGTTACGGTAACGTAAAATATAAACTATAAAATCATTTATTATATAAATCCAGTAATTGTGTTATTGTGTATAATCGATTATATTACGAGGAAATTGCAACTATTCAAGTTACGATGTCGTTAAATTGAAAAGAATTATTACTTTGTATATTATTATTTTGTGATGATAATAAAATACTTATACATAAAAAATTTTGCAACGGCGTACGAAACATTGTAATCAATTAATTATTTATTTATTCAATTAAGTTTTTTGTGAGTATTATATTACCAATTATATTATTGTTTAATATTTACGTAGAATAAGTATGTAATAAGGATTTAATGAAACTGAAAATAATTAGTTATTTCATAAGGTAGTAATATTTAATTAAATATTTCAATGTAATAAATTTGAAATTAAATAATTTAAAAATCCACCATATTTGAATATATTTTGATTATAATTTTAGAAGCCAGTAAATGCTTTTTACGACTATAGATTTCCATGAAATTCCATTAACTTTTTTGTATTATAGAACTATTAAATTGAAGATAATTAAAAATTTATTTTTTATTGTACTCATGCTACATTCTTACTTTTTAACCAAATAACTTTTTAATTGTATTATAAACTAGTTTTTTTTTCTTTTTTCATTTTCTTTCTAAGCATATTATAATTGTTTTTTTGAATAAATATTGCTAAAGTTTAAATATAAATAATTATTTTATTAAATTACAACTCAATATAAATAATATGTTATAATAAAATAACAGTGGTAATTAAAAAATTCTACATAGATTTTTAATTATCGTAAACATTGTTTTAAAGAAACATCACAGCTTTTAAACAAAAATAAAATTTATAATAAATTAAATTTAAAAATGCAAAACATATTTTTGTGTACAAATGGAGAGCATCGATTAATATAATTAAGATAAATATTAATTTATAATTATTTATTTACAAATTTTTAAATTAATAAAAATTAATTTGATTTCTATAGCAAGTTGTAGATATTATAAATCTTTTTTCTTTATTTGTTAAAACTATATAGTATAATCATGAATATGTACTATTTTGTAAAGTACTTATGCAGTAATTTTTACATTATATTTTAATAATAACCTTGAATCAATAATATGTGCGAGTAATTAACACGTAATTAACAACTAGAAATTTAAATACGTCGTTATTCCACAATATTATTACTTGATATTTATAAAAATAGATATTTGTTCGAATTTAACAAATTTATCATTGTAGTCTCATAAGTATTGAGTTCAAGTAGTTTTATATGAATTATCTTGATAGTATAAATAATATCATTTTATGAGAAATTTATCTAAAGTATTTTATGGATGACGATTTGTCTTTATGATAACAGCATTAACGGCTAATTTCTATAACTATTCATAGTTTAATATTAAAAATGTTTTAAATTCAATTAATTCTAATTGCAGAAATTATTTTGCTTATTGTTGTTTCTCTTTACTATTGCTAACGCTAATGCATTTATTTTATGACTTATTTTCCTTACAGAATTTAAAGTATTTTGCCCTAAAGTGTTGTCCTCCACGAAGATTTTTAATGATATATATTACACGACTTTCATCTGCCATAATGTGTGTTGTATATTTATCGATTCGTATATCGTTAATTCTATTAATATTTCCTTTTCTCCCATAAAATAAAATTCTTCTAATAAAACAATTTATTTACAAATAGAATATAAACTTTTAGCATTATAATAATAGCAAGGCAGTTAATTGCAAAATTAATATTCGAGTATTCGTCTTATTATTATTACATACACAGTTGTATGCGTGTAAAGTTTATTTTCGAAATTATAACTTTGAACAGAGACAAAAATTATAGTAATTGTTATTGAAGTGGGTTAAGGTAGCGTTCTAAGAATGACGCACAATACATGCAAGTCTACAAAGGAATGATCTCGTGTTTGACACAGAATAATAGGATAAGAGAAAACTATTTTAAAACAAATTTAGTTCGTTTAGTATGATAGATTTTATTCGCGTAAGCATTTTTTATGGAAATTCTTTATGTAGCGAGAAAATCTCTTAGTTTTTCATTTGATTAAATTATGAAAGTATATATAAATATTAGTATTAGAGTATATATATATATATATATATATATATATATATATATATATATATATATATATTATTAGAAAATTACTACTACAGTAGTATTGATTGAATGATTATGAAAAAAAAAAAAAGAAAAAAAAAAGAAAAAAAAATTAATTCATTTTATCTACTCTTTATTATGGGTGAAAATTGTATTTGGATATTGAGAGAAATTTTGATAGATTTTTCTTTCTTTGAAAGAAATGAAAAATCAATCATTGTTTGGCGTACTCAAACAGTTATTTATATACTTATATAATCTTCACAGAATTTACTTATTATTAGATTTTAAAGAAAATATATAAATTTTTTTTTTTTTTTTTTTTTTTTTTTTTTTTTTTTTTTTTTTTTTTTTTTTTTTTTTTTTTTTATAAATTTTCACAATAATCTTCAATAGAAAATATGATATATTTAGTTGGGACTTTATTTTAAAATGTTATTAATTTTTTAAAAATTAATAAAAACATTATCAAAGTTTAGTTGGCATTTTATTCGTATACATTTGAATTTGGTTATATAAACATTTTATAAAAGATAATTCTTATAATAATAGTAAAAAATTAATTTGAATAATAGTTCCTTTTGATGATTCTTTGCTTTACAAAAATAATAGTAATATAATAATATAATAATTAATTATAGTATTTTTTTTTTTCATAACGAAAATATGGAGTTTTGTCATTCTATGAAGGAAAATATGAAAAATTTTTAAATATTCTTTCAAATATCGTAGGATTTATTTATTACTTTAGCTATACCGCGCGATTAAATTGAAGAAGTTGTAAAGCTTTTATATAAAAAGTATTGACTGAGGTAAATTAATAGGTGAAGGTTTATTTATTTATTTTTCTTTTTTTGAAGGTTTGAAAGTTATAATATCTTTTACTTAATCTTGTATGATATTTATAATAGCAATAAATTAATTTGATACAACAATAATAATTTAAGCAAATTTAAATTAGCAGCATTTTAAATAAATATTCTATGAAATGCAGTTTATGATTAATTGTTTTTCTATTTTATATATAAATAGTTTGTTAAAAGTGCCTTGGTTCGATTTATAAATTTTTGACTATCGATATAATAATTAATAATTTTAGACTATAAAATTATTGATTTTTTTATTTATTTATTTATCGAAGCATTAATAGATAAAAGAATTGAAAATTCATTGGAAGTGTATTTAATAAAATAGTTACTCTTATGTTAAATCAGTATTTATGAAATAAATAAAATTTGAATTACATGTAAATTATGTATTTCATATGTGATGAGTATTGTAATTCTATTAGATATTATATTATTTGTCTCTTTCAATACCTATTTGCAATCATCTATTCTAAATCAATTATTATTAACGTAAGCAGTAAAGTTTACATAACAAATCCATTCATAAATCATAAAGTTGGTTTCATTTTTCGTGGTACTATTCTTACACTACGAGGACATTATATAATGCAATAATGGTAAATTTAACTTTGTGATTGAACAGTGAGAAGAATAATGAGAAATAAAATAAATATTCTTATAATCAATGTATTAAAAAATTTTCCCTAGCTATTTAATGAAATAAAAATTTCTTTACACGAGATTTTACGCAATATTTTTTGTAAGCCTCGTAAGATAAAATCAATCTATGTTCGATTAATTCTTTAGTATTTTGTATTTTGTACATAAACAAATGCAAACTACTTTTATCACGTACTATGCTATTATGTAATTTTTAGTTTTACACGTATATAGCGTCGTTAAATATTTTTTAACCATCAATTTTTGTTTTGTTTTTGTACCGTATAGTATGACTGTAAATCAGAGAATTGATAAATTATGGGAATATAGATAGCTATTGCACTATTATTTACACGAATCTTTTAAAAAATCTAATTTATGCTATTGATACGATACTTTTTTCGTATTAAAATTTTGTTAGTCTCTTAATAGAAAGATTTTTATAAACTTATAATTAATTATTAATGGAAATTTCATCACATTAATAATAACTTTAAATTCGCAAGTATTATAAATGTCATTATTTATAATTGATTTTTCTTCATATCTTTCGATGTATTAATACTAATAAGAAATGCTATTTCTTTAATAATACTGCATTACTATTGGAGATAGTAATTAATTTATTACAAGTTAAAATTTTATTTAAAAGTTTATATAATGAAGACGAAAAGATTGGAACAATAGATTATTCTTCTTTCTTTTCTCTTTATTTCATATTATTTTACTTGATTTAGATAGCCTAGTTTTTCAGTCGGGTAGTATTTTTATTCCAGCATTTTCAGATTTCAGTTTACCGTCTTCTATTGACTCATCAACACTTTTTTGTCTATCGAATGCATTTAATATTGCAGTTTTGTACTTTTTATCGTAGTCTGTTAGTTCGAAACTATCGAAAACTGCGATGTAGGTCACATTGTGAAATAGCCTTTGGTTGAAGAGACGGCGTTAAGTAAAGTTAGCTTACTGATAAAATATGGCGAGTCCGTCATACGAAGAGATTATTATTGTTGCGTATACTTGTTAATTGTTTTACAAAACCATATTTTTACAATACGTAGCTGGTTGGTATTTGATATAAATGCGTGCTAATTCCAAGTAAACAAACTTTTATTTTCTTATTACAGAATGCCTGACAAAGTCTCTACAGACTATAATGTAATTACATCTATAGACATAATTATAGTATTTAGTTTACGTATTAGATATTATTGCTTTATACATAGCGAAGTTGGAAAATTAATTTCTTTTCTTTAATTGACATTTTAATAATATTAAATACGAAATAGTTATGTTAATGAAAATAAAATTTGTTAAGCTACCTACGATCGCATTAAATTATGTTTACTTTAAAAATAAAAACTTTTTTTAAAACATTAGATGCTTTAATGTAATCGATATTATGCTTCCTTGATTATCTCAATTATTCTAAATAATGTAATTCTTAATTGTGATACTAATGAATCATTAATTTTAAGCGTAATAATAATTTATTCATTAATAATTATTTATTTATTAAAATTATTATGCATAGTTTTTAGGCTATTTAGCTATTAATTTTATATTTTATAATTTTTAATATAGCAAGACAATATTTTTCACGTTTTAAATATGATAAAATAAAGTTATATGATGCTTAAAAGTTCTACTTTTTTTTTTTTTTTTTTACTAATCAATGTTGTTATTTAAATAAAAAATTTAATATTTCGTAAAATGATAATTATCCTTTATACCACAATAGCACTTTTACTTGATTCTGTTGATGAAATATACATAGTTTAATGAGACGGAATTTTACATTGAATCAGAAAGATATATCATAAGTAATTTAAATGTGTAATGATAAATGTTAGCAATTAATGAATAATATGGATTTTGGATTATCTTACTCTCTTACCATTTATGAAATATAAATTCGTTTTATGACAACGAATTTATGGATTTAATTATGTAGCTTATACGGATTATTATTGTTCTATATTAAATGAAAGTCATGACTTTTTTCGTTCAAATTTAATATTATAGTCTTGAGATTTATTAACGACATTATAATATTTTCATCTACCAAGTAATACACGCAGATAGATAAATAAGTTCATAATTACAAAAATATCTCAATATTAAATATGAAAAATAAAAAATTTTTCTTCGTTTAATTGCGTTCTATCCTTTTAATTAATTTGCTTGAATTAATTCTTATAATTTTAGAATTTATTTTTATCCATTTCTTTTTCTTGGCTTATCTATGCTTATCTATTTAAGTAATATTATTATCGTAGATATCTATCTTATAACTTTATCTCAGCCAGAGACGTTAGGTAAATTGTTTTTACTTGTCTTTTAATATAATTATATGGAATATTACATAAATGTAAATTGATAAGAATAGTAAAAAATCAACTAATGTACTAATGTCATCTTTTTGTAATTATGAGTTAATGTTTAAAGATGTCATGTATATTATCTATTTTATGGAATCTAGATTGTTAAAATAATCAAGATTTGAAAGGCCATATTAAAAAAAGCCATCTAAAATTTACTTCAACTACGATAAAAGTGCATTAGAAATATATTTATTTTTAATGATGATTAGAAAAATTTATTTCCTGAAACAATTATTTGTCTCAAAGTTTCGAGATAAAAAATAAAATTGAATTATTATATTAAAATTTGGTAAAACAATATGAAAATTAAGAGATGATTTTTAAATATTAATTTAACGGATTGTAATTTAACGAATGAATTTAACCATCTGATTGTACTGTAATGTCTGATACTAGAAAAAATTTAAAAATTTACAACGTAAATTCTTGTGTCGTAATTTTCTATCTAAAAATTTACGTTTTTTTAAATATATACATATATATTTTACAATTTTTTTTCTCATATTTCAAGGTGCTTTACATTTTTATTTTAAACGATTGTATGTTCGTATGAATATATTGAAAATATCACAATAATCATAGGTTTTAATTTTCGTAATTTTTGTGGACCCTTTCCGACAATTGAATAAAATTTAAATAATTATTTCCTCATTTTATGTCGATACCAAAGATTTTAATATTTTATATTCTTTAATTATACTAAATATAAAATCAAATATAAATAAAGTAAAAAATGGCGTTTGACGAATTTAGATTATTTTTATTTCTATTCATTCGATGTTTTATTAATAATAATTTATATTAATTATGATTTTTTTTTCATAAATTATATCTACTCTGTGGCATTTATTTTTGTGTATTTATATTTTTCAATACTTATAAAAATTAATAATAATTTTACGAATATTTCGTACTAATAATAATTTATAATTATCTTATACAGACGAAATTGGAATATATTCATAAAAAATTTTCGTAATATCTATTTTATTACCTGTACTTTTCTCTTTATTATTTGAATAATATTGTGTATATTACATTTAATATTAAAAATAGTATTTCATTATTATTGCGTGGGTAAAATTAAATGAAAATGTTTAATTAAATTTTGTCGAGCTAAACATAATTTAAAGATGTGTAAAAGTTTCTCGATTATACGGAGGATTTCGTGTTTTAACAGTTGTTATTGTTTAAATTTGGGAATACTTTTGAATATTCATAATTTTAAATAGTATCATAAGCGTAGCATAATTTTTCTAATATTAATTTTAATTTGAGAAGGTGAAATCATTTGACGAAACGAAAAATCCTGTACACGCTACATCGAATAATTGTATAAAACCAGAAGTTATTTTTAATATTTTAATTATTTTATTATTAAATTTCATTTGAATAGATATTATATTATTCGTGATTTTCATGTCACGACAATTATATGTATTTATTTGCGCAGTATTATTAATAATAATATTCGAAAATATTATTGACGAATCTAGGCAGTAGTTTCAGCATTTTATATTTTTTTCAATTTGAATGGCCATTATCATTGAAAAATGGCGTTTAAACGCATGCGAATGTTAAAGTACGAGGGACAACATTCTATCATGTTAAAATAATTATTAATATAATGTTCCTAAGCTCAATAAATCTACACGAAGCTTTGAATTAAATTAATGCTAAAGAGTCTTGGCCTTCTATTAATTAACCGGGTGATAATGCGAGTGCACGGCCCATTAGAGTTAAATTCACATTCATTGGAATTCAAGCCGCGGATAATGCGTTTAAAGAAAAGAAAAAATCACGCTTCGAATAATTAATTTAAAGCCGTAACGAAAAGGCCTCCCTCGTCCCTCTCACGACGACCTTAACTTTGACAGGATTGCATTGCGCGGCGAGATTGTAAAAAAGTAAAAGTGGGGCGGTCCAGAGCTCGGATCAAGCTCAATTATTTGAGAGTAGGAGGGCGTGATGGGAGGGGATGGGTAGGGGGGGGGTATGGCGCCGTGAAAGCCTTACTTTTGACATGCGAATGCCATTCCAGGCGAATACGTAAAAGAAAGGAGGCCAGCCTGAAATGGAGGAAGGTAAGATAAGCAGCGGGAAATGGCAAGGGGTTGTCAAAGGCAAGACTCCCACGCACCCCCGCGTCATCAAAAAGGAAATTTAATTGTCAATGTACGGCATTCTGAGGCGCTCGTTCTGGAAGCTGCAATGGACCTGGTGGACGTCACCGGGTCGCTTCGGGGCCTGGGTCTGGGGCTTGAGTAGCCCGAGCTCGCGCCTCAGCTCGCACTGCCTGAGGCCCCGGTTCTGGCGGGTCTGGCTGTCCCGTGGTCCCGATCTCCAAAGGCTCCGCACGCTCTCGCTGAAGATGCGGCCCTCGAGTTGGGCCTCGGATACGTTAGTCACGCTGAATCGAGGCGGGGGCTCGCAGCCCGGGTCCAAGGCCTTGTCCGAGGATGACACGCCGAGCCCTAGAAGGTCGAGTCCAAGTTACGCTTGGTGTGCCGGGGTGTTCTTTGTCCGTGGCAGGGTACGCGCTTTTTCATTTCAAGGTCGCGCGTCCGTGACGCACGACGGCTCCGCTCGCGGTTTTCTCGTTTCTTCACTTTTCATATGTCAACGTACGGCGCTACGCTGAATTAACGCTTCATTGACGTCGGGGGATATCATTGGTTGTCATGGACGTAGGGTTGACGCTAATTATAATGCTCGAGTGCTATGTAATTATCCGACATGCCATTAAATGTAATTAATGTGAACTTGAAGAAGAAGAACACTAAGGCATTTGAGCCAGTGTTGTAGCGCATTCTAGAACGTGACTTAGATTGATTAAAAATTAAGGCTTTCATGATTTTAGTTTACTTTGGCGATATTGTTATAGTAAAAATATTAACGTAGCACGAGTGTAAAATGTTGTAAAATTTTTTATAGGAATTTTGATGCCGACTTTAAGGCTTTTAATTATAGTGTTGGTATTATCGCACATCTCGTGTATATTCTCAATCGACATGTATATTTGTGAATATTTATCCCTCTAATATAAGAATGATGTAGGTAATTACGTTATTTTACGTATATTTGTGACAAAAGCATAAGATAATTTTTTTTTTTTTTTTTTTTTTTGTCTTTCGTGAAGAAAAAGTAAATAATAAGTGTTAAAATTATTCACGATTTATTTCATTATATGACTTTCTTTTTATACATCTGCGTCATAATTTCATTACAATTATTTTAATAACAAACAATAACAATAACAACAGCAACAACATCAACAACAATAATAACAAAAACAACAACAGAAATAATAATATTTATAACGATGATGATGATAATGATAATGATAATGATAATGATAATGATAATGATAATGATAATGATAATGATAATGATAATGATAATGATAATGATAATGATAATGATAATGATAATGATAATGATAATGATAATGATAATGATAATGATAATGATAATGATAATGATAATGATAATGATAATGATAATGATAATGATAATGATAATGATAATGATAATGATAATGATAATGATAATGATAATGATAATGATAATGATAATGATAATGATAATGATAATGATAATGATAATGATAATGATAATGATAATGATAATGATAATGATAATGATAATGATAATGATAATGATAATGATAATGATAATGATAATGATAATGATAATGATAATGATAATGATAATGATAATGATAATGATAATGATAATGATAATGATAATGATAATGATAATGATAATGATAATGATAATGATAATGATAATGATAATGATAATGATAATGATAATGATAATGATAATGATAATGATAATGATAATGATAATGATAATGATAATGATAATGATAATGATAATGATAATGATAATAATAATAATAATAATAATAATAATAACAACGAAAACAACAACAACAACAACAACAACAACAACAACAACAACAACAACAACAACAACAACAACAACAACAACAACAACAACAACAACAACAACAACAACAACAACAACAACAACAACAACAACAACAACAACAACAGTAGTCTATAATTTGATTTTCAAATCTATATTAGGATAGAAAAAAAACTATGAATTAATTATATTTGGAGCATTTTCAAAATCTATTGAAGAACTTTTGGAATGCTAAATGTTCGTATAAATTTTCGATTAATTTAATCCTTATTATAATCAAGCGACACCCTAGAAGATTAAACAATTAAACAATTTATTCATATCCTAAATGATCTTTTTCAATGACAGTACAACTTTTGCAAATTCTTTTAGCAGTTTAACATTTTCTTGTATAAAGATTCTTTACATCACTCGAACGATATAATAATAGGATTTCAGTTTCAGTTATTTGAAATAGCAGATGAATAGGATACTTAATTTTTAAAGGCACCGCTTATTGTAGCTTGTTATTACAGAAATACTATAAGTGCGACAAATATATAAGCATGAATATTATTTCTCGTCTGAAATTATATTTCTTATTGATCGCGACGCGAGAATATAATTAAACACTTTAAACATTATTATTATGATAAAGAGCATTGTTATTATAAAAATAAAAATGTTTTTTCAATATAATTACAATTGAGATCGATGGCATTAAGTCAAAAATAGAGTTACTGATTTACAGATTATAAATATGGAATATTTACTTTATAAATGTAAAATCATAATTGCCTTATTAAATGTTTCAATGCTTACAAAATCTTAAATCTTATAATTTAAAAAATACATTGATTTAAGAAGAAATTAAATTTTAAATATTGTGTATTTATTTATTTATTTATTTATTTTATTTTATTTATTTATTATTTTTTTTGTTCATGAAGACGAATTATTAACAGTCAAAAGCTTGATTAGCTTGTATAATTATGTATGCATATGAAAACTTATTTATTAGAATATTAATCGATTAGAACGAACGATTTATAACTATTGATTATATTTTTGGCTATTAATAAAAAATAAGCATAAAAAATTGTTCGTGTAATATGATTAACATCATGTAATGCGCTTCATGTAAAAGAACTTAGAAAAATATAGCAAGAGAGAAAATGCTGTAGCATTTACTTGTTTCCTCTTGGATCAATATTGCGTCATTAATCGTTTTTTGAGAATCCTTTAATGTTCCATCACTTTTTAATGACCTGAAAAATGATATTTTTAATAATACTTCATTTAACGTATAATAGAAATGATGGCACGATTTAAATATTAAATAATTTTCAATATTATCTATTGTATTTCTGTGTATTTATTCAAATTTTGTGTCCCTATAAAAGTGATTATAACAAAATGCATAAAGCATTAAGTGTTTTATTATTGTGCAATATAAAATCAAGGGATGGGTTATTGGGTTAAAAGTAAAAGTCAATCGAAGAAAATTGTTGTATCGTAAGCGCTTTATCATATTCGATCCTTTTCCCTAAAAATTACAATTAATTTTCAAGAAATTATTTATTAGACTTTGTATATGCACTCGTATAATTAAATTTAATCTCTTAAATGTATTAATGGTGAAACTCAATAATTAATTTAATATTGCCATTTGGAAGGCATGAATTTTAAAAATTCATGATGGTATGGAGTTAGCCCTGGCAATTTCAATGTTATCATGCAATTTTCGTGTTAATTGAAACATCGATCACTCGCATCATTCGGATGTTGAAAATTTTTTATTCGTCACAAAAATTCATTCTTTTATTCAAATGTTCAAAAGGTGAATAATAACTAATTCACGAATAACCTGGCAAATCATTTTTATTTTTCAGCATTCCATTTTTATTCTTAAAAAAATTTGCAACGTTTCTTAATAATCAGTATTAACATTAATAATAATGAGCACAGAAAGATAGATTATTTAGAAGCCTCTAATGATCTATTCTCATTCCGATGGCTTTCAATGCTACTTTTCATATGTAATATTATCATAAAATTTATTATTAATTAATATTATTATGATAGAATAAATTCAACGTTTTATATTTATATTCGTACGTATATCGTTTTTCTTTTTTTTTTTTTTTTCATATATAAATGAGGAAATAAAATTATCATTTAATTTGCATTAAAAGAAAATTAATACTAGTATAACTTTTCTACCTACTATAATGTCCTACCGATTTATTGTTGATTCAGTAAGAAAATGTAATTTAGCGTTTCTCTTTTATTTTTTCATACATGCAAATTTTACAACTCAATTATATTAATTGATAAAATTAAAAAAAAATTAAATACTTCAGTTTTAATTTTTTGTTTTTATTAATGATATAGTAATTGTTGGAATACTTGAAATATTCAAATATATAAACTTATTCAAATGATATGTAAGATAGTATACGAATATCATATTTGGCATTTCACTATTAAAATACAAAACCTAATTTTTAATTTTTAATTTTTTGTTTTTATTAATGATATAGTAATTGTTGGAATACTTGAAATATTCAAATATATAAACTTATTCAAATGATATGTAAGATAGTATACGAATATCATATTTGGCATTTCACTATTAAAATACAAAACCTAAATAATTATTTGGCATTGAGTTTTTTTGGCAAATAATTTGCGTATCAATGTGTATGGCGATAATTTTTTGTTTATAATAATTTGAAAATTATATTTGAATAACATTAAAAATTTTCATTATTTATTTATGTTAAAATGTTCATGAGAGAGAATAAAATTTATAAAAACAATAAAGAAAAAGAAGTTTTTTACAATTACATAATAATAGAAGGCTAATTTTATGTTTTGATATTTTTGTAGCCGAATAATTACATTTAAATCAGTTCATTAGTAAACATGAGTTCTCAATTTATTTATAATTTGTATGAACGTAAAAAGTAATACCATCGACAATTTCAAATTAAAGATAATCAAATATATTGAGGAAAAATGTTACCGAATGAATGAATAGCTAAATTGGACAAGGAATTCGCAAAATAGCTATGAAAATGTTTAATTTTAATTTTACAAAATTTTGCATTATAAAAATAGCGTCGGTAAAAGTTAACAAACAGTAAGTTATGTAAAATATTAATATATTTATATATAGATGTAAATTTCTACGTGTAGATTAAATGTTTATATTAACATTTCTGATAAAAATTCGATTAACGGTTTATTACAATCAGCTAGGATTACGAGCATTTTATAGATATAAAATAATTTTAATATAGCAAAATCTTATACAAATTGCATGTTATGATCATTTATATTGATTTTTAACCAATAATATTAGTTTAATTAATATTAGTTTAATCCAATTAATATTAGTTTGATTGTTTGCAGTATTCTGCAGTCATTAAAGGTACGAGAATTCCCATGGTGTATGGTATTAGTTATGTTTTATATTAAAATTTTAATATTAAAATTATAAATCCTTATGTCTCTATTTGATAGTCTCGCCAAATGTGTGAAGCTATCCGTTAATTTA